ACTTTAAATGTTATCATGTTTCATTGGTTTATTTATGAGATAAGACTATAGTGTGCCATTTAGTACATCATCTCAAAAATAGTCCATTGTTTTTCTTTGAAATGCATACAAACATAATTGTGACATTTAAATTATTAATATACTGAGGCTGCATGTGCATTGATGTTCTAAACTTTTCTCAAATTTCCTGGCTTATAACAGACTTGTCAAACAAAATATTTTTACATGTGGTCAATATATTTCATGACCGGTTAAACCGTCTTATGATCCATGTTAAAATGTCTTGTAACCTTTTAATCATTTCATGACTTATTTAACTGGCCCATAAACTATTAAACTTGTCCTAAGATCTATTGCTCTGCCTTGTAACATGTTGTCTAATGATCTATTAATCTATCCCATGATTTTTTAATCTGTATCATGATTTGTTAACTTTTGTTTCACAACCTGGTAATCTTGCATGGATAACCAATGAAAGTTTTCTTCAATTTCAAGACTTCAAGATACAGTATGCCACTGAACACAAGTGCTTGAGAATATCAGCCTGAAAGAATATGTTTAATCAACCTATTTAAAAATATAATTATATAAAAAGTTTACTTTTGTAATATTTACTGGAAAGGTACTGTTACTTTTCTGGAGGTCATGAACTATCAGGCTGGTATTGACTTAAGAATTTTTTTTGCAGGAAAAAGGTTTCAGTTGTTAATACTGGCAATTAATTCTGCTACTACAGTACAAGTAAAGCACTGTAACTCAAATTTGGTGTGACCCACCATTGAGTAATGCCAGTTGACCTCTTGGGACCCACATCAGTGCAGCAGCATTTCAGGTGAGAATTGGCAGAGGTACAATTAGAAGGAGACACATCAGTGAGATGAGTGCAGTGATATTCATGGGTTTCAGCTGCTTCCTTCTGACAAGTGTTTTTAACATGGAGTGGGCCAATTTTACGTAAGATATGTTGCATTAAGCTGCTTTCTTTTCAAAACAGCAGTTGCTTCTCTGCTGTTGTTATCATCATCATCAATATTGTTATAATAATAATGATAATAAAAATAATAATAATAAACAAGCATTTATTATGCGCCGATTTCAAAATAAATGGTCAAAGGCGTGAAAGTATACATAGAGCATGAACTGAATAGAGTAATAGAAACGTAAAAAGACAATGTAGATATGAACGTGGAATTATTATTATTTTTATTATTATTATGTTATTTTCTCTTTCTTAAGATGTGCCAAATTTAATAGGACCTTCAAATAGCAATAATTACTGATATTTTCTTAATTTTAAATAATAATCTTTAATAATGTTATTTTATGCTGCATTATTACTATCTACTATGTAATTTGTATTAATTATGAAAACTGCTCTTTTTCAGTTGCTTTGCTCTCAACTATGGAGTGAATTACATTGCTCAATAGAACTTTGTCCCAGGTCAGTTGATTGTCCAATTTAAAAACGTTTCTGTTTGTCGTTTCTTGACTACTTTTCATGTTGACTTGAAGTTTTTCTTTGTAAATGTAATATTGATACATTTAGTAATTTTAGATCTTAATATTTTTTGTACACAATCAGGCGAAGGCATCACTGAAGTTAAAAGGCGTGTAAGAAGTTTCTCAAGTCCCCGTTACGCACTTCATACATGTATATTTACACATTCCTGAGACTAAAGTGGATGGAGTTCAATGTAGGCGATGGCTCAACTGTTGTCAAAAAAAAACAAAACATACAAACAGGTAACAATAGGTAAGCAATTGTCAACACCTTCATTTTTTAAGATTCTTTATTCATCAAAAAATAAACATGCATATTATAAGATAGTTTATAATAGTTTTAATAAAAGTTATCACCTAAAGCGAATGCTTATGTGACCCTTGCGACCAACTGACCTTTTGCAAACAGCATCTGAAAATCGCTAGTCATCAGTTGCCCATGGTTATGGATTGTTTATTCAGCTGACAGTAATAAGCGGGGGAGAAGAGACCTGTCTATACAATGTTTCCATGTCTCATAAAACAGAACAAAATACGGAAATTCTGCATTGTATTTTTATCCCATAATGTTTTAGCTTTTAGAATGATTATTAGGTTGAAAAAGGGGCAGGGCATAATATTGGTTGGTGTTAACTTATCCCACAATGTTTTAACTTGATTATTAGGATGGAAAAGTGGCAGGGGATAATATGTTCACCTATATCAGTACTTACTTTATATTGGTTTGGTGTTATATTATTTCAGTATAGGTCAGTTTAATTAGCTAATTTATTTGTCTTTGGGATGGCACTGTATTGCGTTCATTCAGGTTGCTCAGAACATTTTTTGCCAGCCTCATGGCATGAGAGTTAATTAGTAGGCTTGTAAATAGGCTTTTCTATATAACTATGTCCATGATAAATTGAAACTTGTTGATGAAATAGGTATGAAATTTATTTAATTATTTATTTTAATATGAAAGTTGGGGGTATAAAACCTGGTGAGGTCAGATAGCCATTTGTCGAGCAGCTCTGAAAGAAGACAACCATTTGGGAAGAAGCAAGCTACTACAAAGGGTCCACACATCAAGCGTTATACAATTTTACTACTACCTTACACTACTATAAAATATTACATATATTACAAAACATTTCCTCATGGTGCTCTATTCAATAATTAAATATATTGTTAAATATTTTTGTTTTTTAAACATAAAATATGTATTCTGTATTTCATATAAAGAGCTTTTAGAAGTCATATAAGATATCGATTCAATGTCAAATTATGAAACGTTATAGCCCAGCACCTGGACCTCTAAGGATTAGTGCCAACATTTACTACAAACACTACAATATTAAATAATAAGCTCATTATTATTATATAATTTTCGATTCAATTCTAAGCCGCTCTGGAACTCATTGCTTTTCTGAATTCCTGAAGCTTTTGTAGTGTAAAAACATTTCGAACGCTAACATTTATTTACTATATGTTAATATATATATAATATTTATATATTTTTTGTAAAATAAACACTGCTTAAAATAACTTCGCCTACTGTGGAGGCTTCCATGCATCTGAACAGATTCTTTCAAAACTCATTTGAAGATTTTCTAGATCTGAAGCTAAGCTACAGGTCATGTTATCCCACACAGGGGAAGCATATTCTAACAGTGGTCAAATGCAAGTGATATAAATTTTTTACTAAACTTGGTCGTGATAAGAATTTTTTTACATATTTCATCATATTTAATGATGGAGTGGCTTTATTTAGTATTAATTGTACATGCCTATTCCATGATAAATCATAACTAAACATAATACGCCTCAGTGTTGATGGTGTTTGCATCAGACTTCTTGAGAACAGAACTGCCTTGGTTTTATCAGCATTGAAGTTTACCTTCCGCCTTTCAGCCCATTCAAAAATAGTTTTTAAATCATTTAATCTATGTTCAATGATGTTTCTATCATTACCAATTTCATATAAGCATGAATCATCAGCATACAAGCTATTATTTTTCAAATATGTTGTTGGTTTAAGCTTTACCGTGCATTTCTTTCACCCTTATTATATCTCTATGTCTTGTGAAAGTGATATGAAGAAATAAAAAAAATATTTAAAAAAATATAAAAGAACTTCTAACTGGTGGCTCACCAGGCCTTGCCTTTTAAGGCGCTCCTCAAGCCACCCCAAGGAGCGCACATCTACCGTATATTCCGGTGTATAATCCGCAAATTTTCTATGGGATATTCCCTCCGAAGTTTAGGGTGCGGCCTATACACCAGTCATTAACCTACTCCCAAAAAGTTTAGATCGCAGGCCGCGGCGAAAATCAGGCGCCGTCTGTCTAGCTTGGGCCCAAGCTAGCCCAAATTATTCGCCTAGGGTAGGACCAGTTTAAAGGCCTAGTATACTCACTACAGTGCTGTATTAGGATTCCTACTACATTTTCCACGACATTCAAGCAATGGTTTGGGTCGTCTAAATAATTATTTTCATAATTTTTCAATTGTGAAACATGCTGTTTCTGTTCGAAACCGCTTCGCTCAAAACAATAACAAACTACTTTTCGGGAATTTTCGGTTTTCGAGGTCACATGAGCAGCTTGATTTATGATGTCGCAACAAAACACACGTGGGCCGGGGTGAAACTTGCTGTTCGACGTCTGGTTCCCGGTGGCTTGTACCGTTATAGAGAGAATATTGATACAGCTATAATTTTAGAATAAAAACTTGTGAAATTAATTTATGCTATAAAAACACGAGTTTTCTTGAAGTTGTAATAATTATTTTACTGGAAAATAATTGAAGAAAGGCATACGTCATCTGTGCATGCATAAACTTTGTATCACAAGATATTTCTCAAGTTCTGTTTTGTTTATAAAACGTGGTGCGTGATGATGCATGCTTCGTATAGTGGGCTGTGAGTAGTAATGACTTAGGCATAGTATTACCAATATTTTTAGCCTAATACCTAATTACTCACAATAATAATAGAATGATTATTTAAAATAGATAAATATACTCAATAAGTATTTCATTGTATTAGACTTCATTGATGTTTACAATTTTACGTAGCACGACCGTCTAGCAAGAAATGGGGATTTCCCTAGCTAGAGCTGCCTAGTGCAAGAATACGTTGTTTCATTGCGGTAGCCAGAAGTTTACACGCATTTCCAGTTGTTTGTTGTTTAATAATCGGCCAAAAAAAGATGAAATTTCTTTATGTGAACATTTGTAAATAATGTCAATGTTTTAAAATAATTAAAAAGCTAACATTATAGGAACGGTTTGGAGCTTAAAAATAGGTGACCTAGATGAATATTTTAACATGCATCTTAAAAAATTTTGTCATTGGTGGGAAGCCATTTTTTTCTGACAGCTCGCCAAAAAAGCACAAGAAGAGCGATTTGAAGTACTCCAACAGTTCGCCAAAAAATATCAAGGAGAGTGGTTTGTAACTCGCCTACGATTTTTAAAAGGCCAGGCCTGCTCACAATTAATATTAATAATATTCCAAATATCAGAGCACTAAATTTGTACCTTAAAATGATTTAGGCCTAAGTGTTTTAAGATAAGTGAAAAGCATATAACTTTCGATGCAGAATGATCCAAATTTTTTAACTTACTTTAAATTGTTACAGTATTATTTTTCAAATATGTTCTTGGTTTAAGCATTAACGTGCATTCCTTTAACCTTTATTATATCTGTATGTTTTTTAAATGTGATATGAAGAAATAAAAAAAAATTTAAAAAAAACTTACAACTAGTGGCTCATATTTTGCGAGCTGGTTGGCCTGAAGCCACAAGGCTATTTTTTCCTCAAGCAAATGACAATTGCAACACAAGCAGCAGCAAGAATTATCAATGTGCTGATAACAATTGCCAATATAATTGTTAAGCCTTTACCAGAGCTTTCACATCGAGGAAGATCAGTGGACCAACGGCCATCCTCATGGCAGGTTAGGCTAGAGGAGCCTTCTAAGACGTAACCAGCCTCACAAGAGACCTCCACGGTTGAGTTCACCAGATACACATGTCCAAACATTTGACCGTTCTCTACATCTCCCGGAAAACCACAGCTAATAATTTTGACAGAGGATTTTTGAATGATATCAAGGGTAGCTAACACCACTCGGGTATTGTTTGCGAATGTCAGGCTGCCGGTCGTCACTGCGTCAAACAGGCATTCAAAGGAATCGCCACACAAATCTTTGATTTCCTGACTAACAACATCAAGATCAGGGATGTCGAAAGTTGGAGTAAATTCCGGAAAATGGTACGTAGTGTAGTCATAAGGTGATATATATGTGAAGATGGAGTCGTCTGCAGTCACAAGCCATTCTAGACCGTATTCATGGAGTTTCTGTAGAGAAGAATTATTGTTCATGATGGTACCATTTGGAAACTGAAGATCATCGTGCGGTTCTCCATTCAGATTACCAAGAAGTCCTTCGATTTGACCATTGAACCTTGTATCAAGTTGAGCAATAAAAGATATGACTTCCGATTTTATGTAGATGATAACAGCAATACCAGCATTAAAAACAACCCTAATTTCAGATAAATCATTGTTCACACTGACGCGCACCCCATTTAGATAATGAACTTTAACTGGACTGGAAGCAAGACGCAGAGGCTCACCATCGACAAGAACCAATATCTCATTGATATTTGACATCTGCACCTGGACTTTCGCCGAGTTATTGGTATGGATAACAAATGCTGTGTAAACAGTGGCCAGGGTGTCAAGATACACCTCCATACGAGCTTGGAAGATCAAATTGTATAATTTGGAAGATGCCATCAGGAATTCCCCAGCTCCATTGAAAGTGAATTTCTTGCCGTCAAGAGTTGTTACGTGAGGGTCTCCCATACCTCCTGCTGGTCTAGGTGGGTCATAATCTGAGCAATCATCTGAAGGCCGGGTTTTATAGTATTTATCGCAGTTTTTTGATAATTTGCAGCAGGCAATATACGGTAGAACATCATACTTTTGATGGCGCCAGAAGTTATCCACTGGACTGTATCTGTCAGCAGTTCCTCCACCCTGAGATCCGCCGACTAAGATGTTGCCATCTGTTCCGTAACAGCACTGTTGGCCAGAGCCTGATGGGGTTGATGTTGTTGATCTGATGCAGTTCTCAGCCCCTTTATGAAAGAAAGAATTCCAAAAATTTGATATTTCGAATTCAGAATTCGCATTAGCCTGAGCTAAAGTACATGGGCAGGCAGGAACGTCCTTTGGAACATCACTCAATATCTTGGTGTAATATGTACAAAGACTATCAAGACTTGATTTGATTAGTAGGGTTATTTTCGAATACACCTTACTCACAAATGAAGTGACAGCTTTCACGACACGTTTTATGTGAAATGCTACATTTGACAAGTCTTTTCCTCTTTTTATTGCATTACCCAGATGTGAAGCTAGAACAGCTGTAGGGATGATGACGCTACCGGTGTTTGGGACTTTTTTCATAAGAGTGATATCTTCCATCAAAACTGGAAAGTCGTTGTTGTTAATATCCGAGTCTTGAATCATGACATCAACTTCCGTTACGTCTTTACCCATGATTTCAGGATCCCATGATAAAATAATGGGATCGCGCACTGTGAGATCAATAACCTCACCTCTTTCTTCCCAATTTTCCTGTTTAACAGTCAGAAGTGGCCCTAAGTCTTCTTGCGATGCTACGTAGACAATGCCAGAGTACGGGAACGTGTTGCCATCATCAAGTGAGACAGACACGTGTGTCAGTCCATTTTTGTAGAAGGTAGGAGTGATACAGCTGACAATATATGGGTCAACGCGGTCTCCAGGCACAAGTACATCTCCGATACCAGTGTCAAATTTGCACATTGCACTCTGATATGCTATGGAGTTGGTTTCAAGACAGGGCACAGTAATTGTAAGAGTTTCTCCACCCATCTCTCGGAAATAGTATGGTGTGAAACTCAGGAGTTGTTCATTGTTTGGAAGAGACAACCCAGCTGCATACCCATATGATTCATCATCTTCGTATCCATAGACAATTACGGATAATGGTGATGAAAGTGGATCAGTTTGTTCAACATAATAAACCCCTTCTCCTTTAGGTAGCTGTATGGTAATTAATGAATATGCTGTACCAGGTACATTACTTTCGCGAATATCTGTACCATTGATTGGGGAACCATTAAGATGCACTGTCTGACGAGCGTCTGTTTTGGTGACGATGTTAATGAAATTAAAGAAACCTCCAGAGTCCTCACCCGAATGTGGGGGCGTTGTAAACCCAAACACATATCCAAATTGTTCCTCTGCTGGAATATGTATCAAAGAAGGGTCGACTGTTTCACCGTTAACAGATGCTAACAGCTGCACCATCAGTGTAGGTTTGTTTGATGAAACGAGACCTGAACTATACAAACGTCCTTCCCAAAATTCAGCTGAGTTTAGAATCTGATTAGGAAATCCAGGAATGGTAACAATTGTACCACTGAAAAAGGCAATAATTCGATAAATATTGTCGTCGCTGTTTTGAGATGCAGTGTATATGTGTTTCTGTCCCCAACTATTGATGGGTACCAACTGCTCTGTCAGTGTGTCACAGGTTGAACCTGGTACATTTACGCACTCGTTGCCGCTAAATACTGCCACAGATTTGTCACTTTGAACAATGCTCCCGGATAGGTCATTTGTACTCTGGATCTGAACCACTTGTGAGTCATTCACCATAATCGTCAACACGTCATCTTGATTGTAGTTTTGACCTTCAAATGAAACGGTGTCGCGTAAGGTAACATGAACTGTTGTAGAATCCTCAGTCCCAATTACTGCAAATTGTGATGCGCTAGCTCGCTTTTGAAACGTCACCACTACGTACTGAGAACCGAGATTGGTTATTGGTATGCCGAGAAAGCCGTCCGTTGTAAAATCTTGATACATAAGACCGTAGACGGACACGTCGCTAGATGCTGAAACCTTGATTGCTTTTAAGCTTCTCTCTGTACCAGACATCATATATGCAGAAGGAATGGTTGTTCGCTTAAAACTACGGGCCTCAATCAAGAAAGTCTCTTGTAATGGCTTGCCAGCTACTTTGTGCTTGCTGCTAATGGTGACTTCAGTTTGTTGGTCACTAAACGCTACCACTAAAATGAAGAGTTGTCTACTTGCAGAAAATTGGCTTGTGTTTTCCATGAATGCTATGGTAAACTGTTTACCTCTGGATATTCCAAAACACTGATTAGATGTCATCAAATCTTGAGCTGTCAATGGTAGTACTTCAGCAACAACAAGTGCAATGAAGATCACCCACCAAAGATGTTGACCCTGAGATGTCTTCATTCTGCAACGAAATAATAAGAAAAGGTGCATTAATAAAAACAAGTGTATTGTTCTTTTTCAATGGACCAATCCAGTCAAAGGTAAAGCTTCTTTTTTCATAGAGTTTAACATAATTATGCAGCAGTAAGCAAGATCAATTTTGGAATTAGTTCCTCACACAGTCTGGATATCCTGTCGTTTACCTGTAGAAAAATCCTGAAAAACTACATTATTAGACTTCCTCCAAGAATATTTATTTATTTATTCTGCCTTTAACGTGATAACACTTTCAGTGACGCAGCACTGATCTCACTAGTGGATTACATGAACAAAAAGAAATGCCAAAGTAGAACAAAAACAAACATAAAAAAAAAAATAAAATAAAATAAAAATATTGACCGTGTTGATCACCTGAAACATTAAACAACCTACCAAGGAAAGGTTAGTAGGTTGGAAGTCAATAATGCTGCAAATCCGCTTTTGTATTTCCGCTAGGCTTGTTAACAATTCACCAAAATTAGATAAATTCTTTGGCTTTTGGACCTATAGTTCAATATCCACAAGCGTTGAGGTTTATTTTTTCAGAAATAACTCTGGTTGCGGTGCCTTTACTTTGCGCCTGCTCTGTATTTTATCTTCTGTAACTTCTACAAAGGTTTCCCTTGTTAAAAATGTTTCACTTTTTTTTAAATTTCCTTGACCTTGAGTTGACCTTTCACATTTCCTATCGTATAAAATTTGTAGTAGAAGGAGAATGATACGTTTTTGACAAAATGCCTCTAGTGATCTTGGTACACCCTGTATGGAGGATGGGTCAGGGTACTAGGTACGAAATTTGGTCGCATCTTATCTGTCATGTCTATGGGAGACCAAGAGCATATGTAGAGTCGCATGTCAACTAAAGATCCGTACTGTTGCTTAAGGGTTCTTTGACACATTGTCTGAAATTAAAGATTTATAGAGTTGTCTTTGTGTCATTTTCATTGTTTTTTAGAAATTCTTTTTATTCTTTGATGTAATATTTTCCATTGGCTACTCCTAATAGATTGATCTTTCTATTAAGAAAAAATGAAAAAAAAAATATGAAAAATCATGTTCAATGTAAATATTACCGATTAATATTGACAAAGTACATGGATTGGATATAGTAGCATGGAATTCCTCATACTTCAAGTGCTATAATTACCCATTGCATTCATTGATTGATTATTTAGGTTGTAATTCCTTCGTTTGGAACACATGTACAAAATTTTATTCAATTTTTTCATCGGTTCGTTTTACCTCAGGATCATTTTTTCGCAAAAGCACATTTGTTCAGTAACATATTGATCTATTATAGCTAACCAATAAAAAATTCTAAAATTCTAAAATAATTGCCATATTTGGCTTTATCAGAGTTTTTACTTCAAGTATCAAGCATGTATTTGGTATTGGAATTTTTGCTGTAGAATTTTCAGGAAACAACGAAAGTAATAAAAGAGTCCAGAAATCATTTATTTCAGTGATTTTTCCAAAGAACCCTCAAGTCATCCTGTCAGTCAAATTTTGAAAACTATAAGGTCATCACCATTTTTTATCCAAAACATGTTAGTAGATAGTAAACATGATAGTAGACTTCAAAGAGATGAGTTGAATAGCCCTAAATAAGTTCCTATCGAGGGGAATAAAAGTAGACGTAATCATGATTAAAGTAAAGGAAACTTGAATCCCAAGTTGATGAGCTGTGAAGATTGACCTGCAGCAATTACCAGTTCCCTTGTTTAGTCCAAGCTAATGAATGGTTATGCCAAGAGCCTGTTCATATGGTGCATGATTCAAGGAATCTTCCAGCTATTTGGGTGTTTGTCCTGAAGCAAAACATTCAAATTAAATGCTTTTCATCTCCCTTAACACTCTGACCGCCAGGGATTTGAACAAATATTATCAGCCACCGCCAGACTTTTTAGCAAATTTTAACACTTTTCCAAAGCGCATTGAGAGTGCGTATGTGATCAGATTGAAATATAGTAAATACTACAAGAACTACAAACATTTTAGCTTTACAGTGGTACCAAACACTTTATTTTAATCACAATCTGTAACTCGTAGAATGAAAATGGCTCACTTTTGGAAATTTACGTAATTTCGCACAACAAAGCTGAGATAATCATGATTTTTTTAAAGTAAATCAATACCACTCTACGCTAATGTAAACAAACAAATAGTGAAATACTTACTCCAGACTGAATATAGTGTTCAACTTGTTAGTACATATCGGTAATTACCCCATCTATCGGATTCTGTGTCTGGCAGGCAGAGTGTTAAAATACTTTATCACCTAACTAAAAAACTCTTGATTTGAAAACATGTGACAGTTACAATAACTGTGTTTCCTGCTCATATTTCTATTTGACAAAGGTTTCAGAGCGTAAGCATTTAACCCCAAAACAACAAGACCTAACAAGACGCTTTTAGTCTTTGTCTTTTAACGTCAGAACTAGAGTCTATTCAGTTGCATGTCCTGACAACAATCCTCCATTTCCCAAACCAGTCGGGGAACACCCATATCAAGGATACCAGCATGATAAATAATTCATTGAGATTGTGGAAGCAATCTCGACCTCGACTTTCTTTGGATATTACAACAATTATAAAGTAATATTTCAGTAGCTTGATGCCTATATTAACTAATAAAATTCAACAAAGTCCGCATGCTGGACCTTATGAAATTCCCCTCCCCCACTTTCAAAAACGTTATACCCTCCACATGGCCATAATATTTTCCAGAGCATTTAAATTGCTTTAGAAAGAATTGAAATAGCATAGATATAGCTGGTAGCATAAAATAGCTTTATGAAGCATAAACTAGCTTTAAAAGCATTGAAATATGTTTTTGAAGCATTGAAATAGCTGTAGCATAAAATAGCTCTATGAAGCATAAAATAGCTTTAAAATAGCTTTAAAGCATTGTTGAAATTGGTTTTGGAAGCACTGAAAAAGCTGGTAGCATAAAAAAAAACTTTATGAAGCATCAACTAGCTTTATAACTCTATGATTAAGCATGGGAATTGCTTTATGAAACATTGAAATTATAATATTGGTCAAAAGCATCCATATTATTTTAGGAAGCATTGAAATAGCCATGGAATACCTGGTAGCAAGCTTCATAAAGTTTCATAGCTTTATGAAGAGTATTAAAAAGCTTTATGAAGCATTGAAATAGCTTTTTAGATGAAGCATTGAAATAGCTTTATAGGTTAAAGGAAGCATTGAAATAGCTTTATAGTTATGAAGCATTGAAATAGCTTTATATGTAGTTGTTGGGAAGCATTGAAATAGCCACCAAAAAGCAGGTAGCATAAAATAGCAAAGTTTGTCATCTGTCGGCTTGTCTCGAATCCTAATAAGTTTGACATCTGTCGGTTTGACTCGAATCCTATTTTGTGTCTGTTTCGTTTGTTACGTTGTAGGATTTCGGCTGCTAATTGCAGATATGCCTGCAATATGTGATCTGCTTGTAGTTGTTGCGGTATTTGAAGAAAACGTTTATTCGTTTCCAAGATTCATGTCATTTAGAAAGGACAAACAATCTGCTTAACCGCAATTCGGGTATCTTTTAGTCGTTTAGTGCGTCCTCAATTGTTTGGCGATATGTGCTCAGCTTTGGAGAGGAGGTACCGTGAAATCAATGATTAGGATCTTCCACCATGTTAAATATCGGTTTGTTGTTGGTGACTTTAATGAGTAGCATGACACAGTTCCTTTTAGTTCACTGCAAACCTTTTATTAACACAAACTGTACGTTGGTTACAATCAGCTAAACTCCAGGTTTCAGATGTTAGAGAACCCTTTTAGAGTGGAGTCAGCTCGGCCCTGTACTTTTCTTCTGTGTTGAATCTAACTACTGACTACTGAATACTACTCACTACTGAATACTGACCATTGCTGATTACTGACCATTGCTGATTACTGGTTACTGGTTACTGACTCAGTGATATGGGGGTGTTTGCCTATTATACTTTAGGTAATGGGGGTGTGTCTGAAGTAAGTCACCCCATACTTTTAGAGTTTCTGATTGGATCATAGAGAAATTCTTTCTCTATGATTTAG